TGTCTTGTTTGGTGTCAATTACTGGTTTACATATTTGTATATGATTGGATGATTGAGACCAAGGAAAATGGCAAAAAGGTTATGTGAATTGGTGAGTGGATAATGTGGACAGCCTGACTAGATATCCTGAGAGATGGTGGACGGACCGGGTCTGTAGGGAACCCTACCGAGAACGTGGTCTCTCATACCGGACGGGGTATGAAGACCTTATGTGTTTTAACGCCTATACCGAACGGGGTATGGGGACGACCCGTTTTACCCTCATACTAGACGGGGTATTGAGGTTCATGGTTTTGGCGCCCATACCGGACGGGGTATGGGGACGGTCCTGGAATCAGATTGCAATGTTAATGGTTCACGGGTAGCGGGGACCCCCTATGGATCCCCATGGATACTAGTAGGCTGGTAAAAGAGGAAAATATGTTGTTTAATCATTGAAATGCAAATGTGTGGTAAGTGTTATGTTATAAAGTTTATATGATTTCATGATGATGATAATGTTATTGCTTTCATATGTTGTTTTCATGGATCTCACTGAGGTAAGTGGACAGTAAAGGTTTTTATGTTAATAAACGAGTTTGTTATAAATTATACTCCATTGGTCATTTTTATTTTTTACCCACCTTTACTTCCGTGGCGGTGAGATAGTGTGATGTCTTTACTGGGCTGGTGTAACTCGTTCCTTATTTAACCATTTCAGATTAGGAAAACGTTGTTCCCGAGCCCGTTCTGCAAGAAGACGGTGAAAGGGACGCCTAAAGACTTAATAGTTATATTTATAGTTCTTATTTCGAGTATCTCTTTTAATTAGTTTGTTCCTTTATATTTTGAGTACGTTTTAGTTATTGTGTAAGAGATGTTAATCAAAATTTTTATTACGCTTCCGTATTTAATATTTTTAATACATATATTTCATTTAAATTTTCGGGGCCGTTACTCTATTAGTCATGAATGAGCTTTCTTTAATTTTAAAAAATTTCCATTCCACCCATTATTTTCCTAAAAATATAAAGAGATTCTTTTTTTTATTTATTTAAAAAATGACAAGAAATAGTAAAGTAAGAGCATGTTTGAGTCAAGTCATCAATTAATTTTGATAACGATGAAAGTGGGTAGTTTGATTCAAGGTACGAATTTAAGAGTACTTACAATAAAGGATTTACCCATGTGTGCCCATTTGTAATTATAATACTTTCAATTTGAATTACAAAATATATTTTATTTGAATTTATATAAAAAAAATTAAATTGCTCTTTAACTAATTATTTTAAATTTAATTTTTTTAAAAAATTAATAATTTAATATTTAAAAATTATTAGGCTAATAATATTAGAAGATCTAATACTATTAAGACTGTGAACTATATTATTTGACTTTTGGATAATCATAAATTTATAATGTGTAGAATTAGTCGTAATATAAAAAGGCAAAAAATGAATTCCACTTAATCATGTTTTAATCAATTACGTAATTCTTTATCCATTATATCCATGTAAAACACGTAATCGATATTCATTACCGTTGCATCATTTTTTCTTTATCTTTTATTTCTCTTTTTAAATATTATTAATTAATTAATAATAATGATAATAATAATAATTATCACTACTAATTTTGAAATAAAAATAGTAATAAAAAAATAGAGACAATTACTATAAATTTATTTTTTATTATATATATTATTATTGCGTGTATCCTACGAATAAAGTAAATTAATTATTTTTATTAAGTTTATTAATTGTTAATATTGTTATTTAAATTATAATTATTTTTATAATTCGAATGACAATTGTAAGATAATAAATATTTTTCATTTGTTGTTTTCGGCTTAAAACACGTATTAATAATAATTTTATAAATGTAAGAAGGGAATAATAATGAAAAATATCAAGGACTTAATGGTAAATTATCAATAAGTTAGGGGCTAAAATGGAATCTTATTGGAGAATTATAGAGATTCTTTTTTTAAAAAAATATTTCAGAAATATCGGCCCAATTGCTTTGCCGATGGGCTTTTGGGCCCAAGAGATAAAGACCCATTAACTTCAAAGAAGACGACGAAGAGGAAAAATCTGAAGCTGATCATCACCGGCCATCGCCAACCAAACACTGACCTGACTTCCCTCATCTCCATCTTCCCTCTCTCTGATTCCTATTCAGAGGGTGAATCAGGGAAGCGGACGAAACAACAATGAAATTCCGCTTGACGTCATTTTCTCAATTCATCAAACCCTTAAACAAAGCCTCTAGGTTATTCTCCTCGTCTTCCTCAATTGAATCCATCAATTCCAATTATCCACAAAACCTAGCCGGTCTGCGTGCTCGCCTTGCCGCCGAATCGCCATCGCTCACGGACTTCATCGGTTTGAAGGACGATGAGAAGTACTCCGTGGAAGTTGGAACCAAGAAAAATCCCCGTCCCAAACCTAAATGGATGAAAGAGTCTGTTCCCGGCGGTGAAAAGTACGTCCAGATCAAGAAGAAGCTAAGGGAGCTCAAGCTTCATACCGTGTGTGAGGAGGCTAGGTGCCCTAACCTCGGCGAGTGCTGGTCCGGTGGCGAGACGGGGACTGCCACCGCCACTATCATGATTTTGGGTGATACTTGCACCCGAGGCTGCCGGTACCTCTCTCTCTTTCTTTCTCTCTCTCTCGTCCAATATGTTTGTATATGTGAGTG